CACATTTCAGCACAACACAAAAAGAGCAGTGTTTTGCTTCCCAAGTATTGTTGTAACATTGTTGTGATGATTTTAGACATCTTGATCACAGAATTGTGTAATTCAGGCGAGTACAATATAACCTTTATTGGGTGTGCCATACTGAAATAAAAAGCTGATCATCTCAGAATAGCCCCCAAAGGCCTGGTTTCTTCTTTTGTATGCCACAGTTGGTCCTCAGGAGTCTCAGGGTTTGTTGCAAGAAATGGTCATTGCAGTTGTGTACTTGGTGGATTATGCTGTAACATGCAGAGGAAAAGACAGGCTTGGACTGTGTGAAGAAATCAGGAAGGGAAATTAAGTAATTCAGCGACACTGAAAAACAGTGAGTGATTCAGATCACTGAAGTAAAAAACCAGCATAAAGTGGGTGTTGTAGCTTTCACCATTAACAGAGGAATGTTGGCATTTTATTTCAAATGGTAATATAAAAACAGCGCATCCAAGATTTTGACATGGATGAATACATGAGAGGTGTGATGCCCCAGAGTATTGCTGAATTTCTCATATTGTGTAGCCTTCATGCTGAAAATCCAACACTAATTAGAATTATTGTTGTATTTTGTTTGTTTGACTGGTCTCCAGACAAAGGTTTTTGGTTTGTCCCTGGAGAACTTACCGCACTATAATATGGAATGTGGGAGCGTGCCAAGGCAAGTGGACTTACCTATTTAATTTTACTTGATTTTGGAAGTCATTTCGTGTTCCAGTGTTGTTGTTTTTAATGTGTAATGACATCTCTTTGCCTTTCTAGCTTTTTGGTCGATGCATGCATGAAGCTGCTGGCTCATGTCGACACAGAGGGCCTATTCAGAAAATCAGGCTCCGTCATTCGCCTGAAAGCTCTCAAGGTGAGTGATAGCTGAAGTTGACCTTCCTTTCACAGAGAGTTGACCCTGGGGACCGTCTTAATACAAGAGAGTGTGTTTTGTCTGGCCAGGCAAAACTAGACATGGGTGAGGAGTGCCTGTCCACTGCTCTTCCCTACGATGTGGCCGGTCTGGTGAAGCAGTTCTTCAGGGAGCTACCGGAGCCTGTGCTACCCACAGAGCTGCAGGAGGCCTTCCTCAGGGCACAGCAGCTCCCTACCGAGGAGGAGAGGACCTCTGCCACCATGCTGCTGTCTTGTATACTGCCTGACAGAAACCTGAGCACCTTGCATTATTTTTTTGACTTCCTCCACAATGTGTCTAAGAGGTGCCATAAATACATTTAGTTGGTTGTTGCATTTAACCTCTTTTTCCTCTACATTATTTGCAAGCTCCCATTCATCATTTTAGGTTTTCTGTCAATCTTGACTTTTTTGTCTTCATATTTACATAGTTGCTTTTTTTCTTCTTTGTTAATTGCAGGAGTGCAGAGAATAAGATGGACAGCAGTAACTTGTCTGTAATCTTGGCTCCCAACCTCCTCCATGCTGGAGATGCTACAGAAAAGATGAACGCCAACACTGAGAAACGCCTCAAGCTACAGGCAGCTGTAGTGTGCTGCTTCATAGAGAATGTCAACAGCTTTGGTATTAGTTGAGGCAACTCGCCTTAAGTTTATCTGAATGTTAATCTCCACTGTTGCCTTAAGCGCTAAATATTTGGCTGTGTTTGCACATCCCAGGTGTCTTGCCACAGTTCCTTCTAGAGAAGGTCCCAGCTATGATGGGCTGTGAGGCAGCGCTTCTGTCCCCTACTAATGATGAGCCTGAGGAGCTGCATGTAAACTCAGGGATGAAGAGGAAACACAGACGCAGCTTCGGTGGTAAGATGATATCAGATTTAATTTCATAGTGAAAGGCATAATATGCAGGTCTCTTCCTTGAGATAGGAAGTCCTACCTATCTCACCTCAGATGACTTATTTTACTTTATATCCAGTTAAAAGCCACAAATCAAAGCAGAGGCACCAGACTGTTTTTTGGAACCATGCATTGTAGGAGCTTTCAGTAGATGTAATTGTGAACCAGCCTTAGTCAGTAAATGCTGTTTAAATAATTTGGTTTGTCTCACGTTTCAGATATGGTCAATGGTGCTCTGAGTAAGATTAAAACTAACAGAACACCAACAAATGCCACCCAGTCAGACAGTCTTGGTAGGTACAGTGGGCAGTTGAGCTAACTACTGTATATGTTGCCTGTAATGTAGCATGATGACTGCATTACATCTGCATTGTCTTGGAAGTAATAAGTTTTCTGTTCTTAAACCAAAATGCAACTCTTTTCTTCACTACGTAATTAAGCTTCTGAAATGCATAGACACTAATTGAGAATTAATTTAGGTAATGTGAAATCATGCCTATCTTTACTGGCTTTTGTCATCTTTGCCTCCCCGTCTGCTATGGATCTGCTTCCTGTCGTCAATGCTTCAGCTCACAATCATTAAATGTTTTCAAATATAAAAGAGGAAATTAGACAGATTGGAATACTAATTCTTTTGTGATTTTTGCCAGTCTTTTCTTCTGCAACTCCTGTGATTGCAACACCGACCTCCAAGCGAAAACTTCCTTTGGAATCTGGTTACTCTTTTGGATTCTCAAACAAAAAACGTAGATCTGTTAAAAAGAACCTTGGGATAGATTTACTTCCCAATACTTTGTTCAGTGGAGCCTCCACTCCTGGATCAGGTATTAATGAATGTTTGATCAAGTGGACATCAAGTATTGTTATCTCTGAAGTCTATGTTTAAGTTTGTGTGTGGTTTTTGCAGCTTACAGTGCTTCGGGGGTCTTGGACTCTCCCCGAAATACCCTGTCCTCAGTAGGGAGGTCTAGAAGGCCGTTAGCTACCTCTGCAAGGAGGAAGAGCCAGCAACTTAGCAAGAGACATGCTGTCAACAGGTGCACCCTTTCTTCTTTGTTATCCTTCAGAGTTCACGATTATCATTTATCTCTTTGAGAGTTTTCACATAAGCACTGCCACACTAGAGAGAGAGAAATTACATGCATGGTGCAGTAGCACCTATTCGCAGTACATTAGCAGAATTATGACAGTGTGAAGCCATAAAAAGCATTATGACTAAAGCATTTCTCATTTGCTATGCATTTGTTTACAAGATTCATATACATGGAAAATAACCTCAGAGCGACATGTCACTCTTAGATTGTCTTATGTTGATAACTGTCTGAAGTCATTTTGTTTTTACAGAGCTGAGTCTGGCAGGGCTGGATGCTTTTCTCCTAAAGTCAGCAAAAAAGAGGCAGCACACAAGTCTCTACGTATGCGTTTCAGCCTGGGGAAAAGCAGCAAAGATGCCGTAAGTGTGGTTGTCTGATAGACTTCACATTCCACTTGTATGGCTTACAGAAACAGTGAGAGATGGTGTTAATCATGTGCATTTAGGCATCTTTTGTCACTGTATTAAAAGCAAATCATCTGTTTGCACATGGGTCTTTTGTTGGGTACATTGTTGCACAGTAGCACTTTTTTTAACGTGTAACATTCTTAAGTTTACTTTCAGTAGTTAATTACTATTAACTAATAAATACATGGTTTTGAAAAATAATCTAGGTTGTTTAAGCACCATCACATTTTAAATATTACAAAGTAAATGTTTTGTATGGTGCCATGCCATAGAATATTTTCAGTGATTTTATGTCAAGCACTCGGGTCAAAGAATGTTATTATATGCTATAAAGAAAATGCATTGTAACCTGTTTTGGGTGCATTCAAGGAGCTGCTAAAGGTTTGAGGTGCACAACTTTCTAATGTTCAATAGTAATCTGTATATTCTTGACATAATAAAAGGCTGTTGACCAACAAATCCAATGTTTCTTCTGAGTGATTTTTATCATCCTCTGAAGAACTAACCACAACTGTCATGCTATTAACATATCACTGTAACACTGTGGGCAACACCTGTGGGGTCCTTTTTAACAGAATAATTCTCTAAAAGCTTCATGCTGCTTGAAGTTTTTATTTTTATTTTTAATCTTTCATTTCTCATTCCATGCTGGTGATAAAGGGATCGGAGTCCATTGGCTGGCGGCTTGCCACGCAGGAGAGCACCACCAGTTTTTGTTTCACCAAAGAGACAGAGTTCAGTCCATCAATTCATCCTAGAAATACTGAATCCAAGAGTGAGTGGAGAAATCAGTTAAACAGTCTGATAATCAATATGTTTGTGTGCAGTGCTACAAGTGTATTAACTTTTCATATCCCACTCAACTTTTCTAGGCTCCAAGTACATCAGTAAATCTGAAGACAACTTGCTGACCCCCCAGTGTGACTCACGTGCCCATCAGACATGGAGAAGGGACACCCCAGTAGGAGCCCAGGCTTTCAGCAGAGGGTCTTTCACAGACACTCCTACGAACATGTGTCTAAAGAACAGCTACATGTCTGAGCCTGCCATTATCATATCCAAGCCCTCATCCGTGACCAGCTTTCCCAAGAAGCTGTGTTGTGCTTCCAGTGCTGAGAGCCTCGAGACTGAGTGCTCTGTCAGCAGACCCCTGCGCCAAATGGGTCCCACCTCTTTGAAATTCAAAAATGCCTTCACAGAGTCGGGCAGTTGCCCTCAAGCTGTTATGCAGGACTCCTGTAGCTCTGCATATTTGACCAGAATGTTAGAGAGCATCACAGGCCCTCCACCAGAGACTCCTGTTCTATCTCTGCACACTGAAGCCTCTAGCTTCCCAAATCAGCAGAGCTTTCTGGCAAATGAACATAACATTACCTTTGATAAAATTGAAATTGCCGCTTTGTCTCCTTTGCATATTGATAGTGTCATTTCTGAGTCTGTTGTATGCGGTAATCCAGCCATAAAGGATGCCAAAGAAACTTGCTGTGCTGCTGCTGTCAGGAGCCATAACAGCTCCCTGTTGGGAGATGGTAAAAAGGAGACAAAGGAGGTGAACTGCAGCAGGCTGATTGATGCCCTGGACATCCAGAGTCCGGCTCACTTCAAATTGGGCTTCTCCTCTGGGCTGCAGTCCACTCCATACAAGCTGGGCCTTGAACTCGAAGACGAGCATGGTTCACCTTGTAGAGTTGATATGGTAGTCAGCACAGTATATGAAGAAGAGAATTCTACCGAAGTCCCAAACAGACATCCCTTCTCACCACTCACCTGTGGGACTGAAAAGTGCCGGGTGGCCGATCACATTCAACACTTCAACAAGCTCACCCTTCGTTCTCCCAGAAACTCCAACGCTAAACAAATCAGATCGCCGCTCAAGTTCCAGCGTACCCCTGTGCGTCAGGCTGTCTGCAGGATCAACTCTCTTTTAGGAGAAAGCAGGAGACCCACCAGAAATGCAGGAGTCATCACCAGCAAGAGCGGTCATGTGGTGAAAGCAGTGAGTCTGGAGAGCGGCCTCTCCCCTCACCCACAGCTTCAGCCTTACCAGGAAGAGCCACAGGCGGGATGTTCCAACAGCATGTGCCATATAAAGAAGCCACCTCCAGTTCCACCCAAAAAGCCAAGCACCTTGGGCTGTAGAGCCAAGATTTGTGCTCTGGGTGACATGACCAACATTGTCCAAGCAAAGAGCAAAGTGGCCTCTTCGGTCCCTGATTTATCAGGAACTCGGAGGATCCTTGTACAGCAGGGATCAGAGAAAGACACGAGCCATTACAGAGGTTCACCTAGGAACCCTCTGAACCAAGGGCGACTGCTGTCTGCTACTAAACCTGTAGATTTATAGCTTCTATTCTTTTTTGACTTTTGTGTTTTGTCTTTACTATGCAGGTCCCTGTCTGGTGAAACTATAGGAAATTAAACATTCCAGCTTCTAATAGCCATATTTTCAGGGTTTTAATTTATTTTTAGCTACAGCTCTTTATTGCATTAGGGCCTTAATGGGACATGTTCATATGCTTTAGTTTAACTGTAGTAAAACAAGTTGAAAAGCTAAATGCTGATGCAAAGTCTTGAAGATTGTGTTAGCTTATGTTTAGATCATAGCATGCAGGCCAAATTGTGATTGATGGTATGACTTGGAATGTTTTGATCAAGTCTTGTGCTTTTTACTTTAATCGTTAGGGGGTGGGGGGGGGGGGGAAGCTGTTTCTTATTACACAATAGTTTCTTACCCTGTCATGAACAGAAGGGGGGAAAAAAATGCAAGTTTTCATTTTAATTTTATGGAAACAAAAGGGCAGTATTAATCAAATCATGTCAGTTGCAGTCCATGAATTTCAAAACCATCAGGGAGTGAAATGCTTTGGCATGTGAATAGCTTCAGACAAAGTCAACAGCACGTGTCGGGCTCGGGTGCTGCCTGGAGAAATTCAGTGTAGAGCCACAAGGGGGAGTCATACATTTACTTCTTGGACAAGAACAGACTGACATGTTCAGTGAAACTTAGTCAAAGTCAGTTCTGACACTGAAATGACTTTTTCTAAAAAGCCCTTGGTAAACAAATGTAGATTTGTGACCCAGGCAGAGGAAAATAAACTCCATCTCCTGGTAGAACACTGTGGATGTGGTACAGTACATGATTTTAACGTGAAAGTAAATGGTGGTGTTTTCTCATGAAGAATTTGTGGTGATTTGGTGTTCACAAACCCTGAGATAGCAGGACAGATTAGACTTGGACTCAGGTTATCATCTAACCTCTTACTACAGATAGCACTCCGTTTACCTGGTTGTCCACATTCAGGCCTCGTGCTGTAATGTATATACAGTATATCACAGGCTGGACAGCTGGGTTTAGACCATGTGTTAAACAGATGGGTTTATTGTGAGAAAAGATGTTTGAATTTTAAATGTCTGCCTTTCTGAAATGTTAAGTATAAGAATCCATGGAGAATGTTCAGTACAGGGAAACCTCCACAATGGACAATAACTCCATTAAGCTGCATGGATGTTTTGGGTTAAATATTCTCATTCTTAACAGTTTTATTTCTTAGAATATCATAAAGGCTGAAGAAAGATTCCTCAGCAAAGGCCATTATAAGTCACCAATGTTCCAGAAAAACCTGCTAAACATCACCACTGAATAAATAATCAGTGGAGCACAGGCAATATGTGACTATATGGTCTTGAAATTCCTATTTGCTTCTGAGCAAATGTCCTTTTATATTTAGGCTGTTAATCATAAGTTGATTTTTGATTTGATCTGTTGTGATGGCTTTATTAAATCAAGGTTTCTGACTGGTAGCTTACTGAAATGTTCAGCTGTTCACAATGACTGTGTAAAAATGTCTGTTTTGAAGATTTGCAGGTGTGCTGAGTTGATTTTTAAATCGCAGTTTGCTTGAGACCTGTGAGCGCCTCAGAATTTTTGGAGATATTAGTTTTAATATTATGCTGCTGTTTGGTCAAAGCTAATTGTTTGACTTTTCCACGTGTGCGCATACAGGCCCGTCCGCGATCTGCCCCTCACCCCCGCGGCTCCCCAGCTGTCTGTTTCCTTGAAGTGGGCTCAGAGAAGTGTTGAGGGGGCGGATAGTTTTGATTTTCTCCTAATCGTGCTTAGCCAATAATGTAGAGGGAACTGTTGTGCACATCTCAGCTGGCAGACATTTAAAAGGGAGACAGTCCGGCGCTGGAGCAATTTGTATTAAACCCCCCTTTGGCCCCTGTTTATGGAGCGATTAGTCTCCCACCCATCCCCAGTCCCACCAGTGTTCACTCGGCGGCAGTAGGTGTCTGTCACCTCGGAAGGTGCCGGAGAGGACTGACGGGATCAGATCATCGCACTTGTGATTGTGGAGGCTCGAACAGGTGGGCGAACTTGCACAGAACACACACACGCATAATTTTCCAACTCGTAGGTCAACTTATTAGTTGTGTTGCTTGTGGAAATGAGAACTGTTTGTCATCCACTGTTGTGCATGTGGAGATACGTGATGGATGGCTTATTAAACATACAGCTAAGATGGTGTATACGTTTACCCAAATCTAGTGGCATGCATTTGCGCAGCTGATAATATATAAATGGTCTAGCTCTATTTGGACTAAGATAATTAGAATATACCTATGGGTTTTATAGCTGTGCGTAACCAGTCCAGAGTTTAAATTGTGTAGGTGATGAATTATTTTCTTCTCCTTAAGGATGGGCAACTCAGCGCCTATCTTCTGCAGTATGGTTTTCATCATTGGATTGCTATCCTCTCCCGTGGATTCAAAAAGAATCCGAGGCTCACAAGGCGCCATTCCTCATCCTGACAAAAACAACCCAAACCCCCCACCCACTGCCGAGGGCGGGCTCCAGGTCCCGGCAGAAACAGGCCTCATCTTCACCGGCCGATGAGGTGCTGGAGTCCAGCCAAGAAGCTTTACATGTGACGGAGCGCCAATATTTGAAACGGGACTGGTGCAAGACGCAGCCGCTCAAACAGACCATCCACGAGGAGGGCTGCGTTAGCCGCACCGTCATCAATCGCTTCTGCTATGGACAGTGTAACTCCTTCTACATCCCCAGGCACTTTCGCAAGGAGGAGGGCGCCTTCCAGTCCTGTTCATTTTGCAAGCCGAAGCGTTTTACCACCATGACTTTTACTCTGAACTGTCCGGACCAGCAGCCACCCACCAAGAAGAAACGCATCAAACGCGTCAAACAGTGCCGCTGTATATCCATAGACCTGGACTAAAACATTCAGAAAGGTGTCCTCTGTGTGAATGTTCTTCATTGTCTTCTTCTTGGCGGAAAGGATTGCTGGTTAAAAAAAAAGGCTGTCACACAGCCAAGAACACGTAAATCCCTCTACATAAGATGACATGCAAGCTGCATTCATGAAATATTTCAATCTTCTTGCACACCGTGTGAACACATATGAACATACAACTCGTAAAGCAATGCTGGATAGCAATGAACATTTTACGCCTCAGCAGGCTGAGAAGTTTGAAAACAAGCCTCGCTGCACGGGAATGTTGACTCGGAATTGGCACGTTTGACGCACGGCTTCCTCACCCCTGTAGGACTGCGCAGCTCCAGTTTATTTAATCATTTTGACGAAAAAAGAATCCTGTCCAAGTTTGTATTTTTATGCGTTTGTAAAACTGGCTGTTTCCACTGTGTGGAATTTGATGGATAAACGGTGATATCTGTAAACTGAAAGTGGGTTAATTTCGATATTTCAAGAATCTTTTAAGATTAATTGATTTATGTGAATTTCGAAGTCCACCAGTAAAGGATTGTGGATTGTTAATTGGCTTCTCTGTTGGATAAAACGGACATTGTACAACAGATGGCTTACAGCTGTAGATTAATTGTAAAATAAAAAGCCATCTTTGACATAAGCGGTCTGTTTATTCCTTTTACTAAATTATACACAAAAAATAAACTGATGAAATATTTTTGCATAGCCTATTTACAACTTTACATCGAATGCTGCACGAACAAAATGTTAAATTGTCTCTCATCGGTTGCTGTCATCCTCCTGCCAGAGGCATCAACTCAGACCTTTCAATAAATGCAAGTCAGAAAAAATGCGAACAGCTGGTCCATCATCCCTTGAAATGATGCTTAATGACGTTTTGTTACAAGACTAGCAAAACTGTCAGAGGACAGAAAACCAATCCAACGTTTAATAAACTAGATCACGTGTTGGATTTTTTTCCTTACATGAACAAATATAGTCGTGGCCAAAACTATTAGTGCCCCTACATTTCTGTCAGATAAGGCACTACTTCTCCCAGAAAACTTTTGCTGTCACAAACTCTTTGGCATTCTCATATTCATTTCTTTTGTCTGCATTGGAGGACAACAAAAAGCACAGAAAAAAACCAAATCTAATATACTGCACACAGAACTCTAAAAATGGACTATACAAAGTTATTGACACCTTCAACTTAATATTTGGTAGCACACCCTTTGGACAAAATAACTGACATCAATCACTTCCTGTAACCATCAGTGAGTTTCTTCCACCTCTCTACTGGAGTTTTGGACCACTCTTCTTTTGCCAATTGCTCCAGGTCTCTTAGATTTTAAGGGTTCTTTCTCCCAGCTGAAGTTTTGAGATCTCTCCACAGGTAATCTATGGGATTTAGATCTGGACTCATTGCTGGCCACTTCACAACTCTCGAGCGCATTGTTTGAAACGACTTCTGGTGCTTTTTGAAGTCTGCTTTGGGCCATTGTCCTGCTGTAAGACCCATGACCTCTGACAGTGACCCAACTTTCTGACACTGAGCCCTACGTTATGTCCCAGAATTTACCTGTCCATAGGACATTGTCCCAGAAGGACTGTAGCTTCCTCAAGTAAGTTTTGGCAAACTCCAATCTGGCTTTTTATGTTTCTGTGTCCAGTGTTGTGCACACTGGACACAGAAACAGCAAGATCTCTGGAGATGGACTTGGAGCCTTGAGATTGTCCAGGTTTTTCCACTATTGTGGTCCTCAAATCCTCAGACAATTCTTAGCTCTTTTTACTTTTCTCCATGCTCAGTGTGTTCTACATGACACAAAGGTTGAGTCAACCTTTCTCCAATGCAAGTGTGATGCCTATATTGCCAGCACCTGTTGATTGCTACAGGTGAATTTAAAGGAGCATCACATGAAATACAACTGTTTCTGATGATTTTGAAAAGGTGTCAGTAATTCTGTCCAGTCCATTTTGGGACTTCTGTATGGAATCAGATTAGGTTTTTTCCCCTCTGCTTTTTTGTGTTGTTCCAATGCAAACAAAAGGATAAACACGAGAATACAAAGATATTTCTGACTTCAACAATTTTCTGGGAGAAAATGATCCTTATCTTACAGAAATGCAGAGGTGCCAATATTGTTATGGCGCTTGAATTAAAGATGTGGAGCTGGAATGGCCACAGGAAGAAAAACATGGCAAAAAAACCAAAAACAAAAAAAAAAAAAAAAAAAACAGAGAAATCTGAATCCTGCTGTGATCAATCTGAGTCACCAGGCAATACAACTGGATTTTTTTTTCTTTTCTTTTTTCCCAGTGTCTATAAAAATCACTATAAGGCACAAAATGACTTTTGGTATTTTAATGACAGCAAATAGGCAAAAACATCTTATTTCTCTTCAAACAAATAACACAATGTTAAAACTGATCAATTTAGAGCTACCGATCAACCGATCAGCATGTCTTTGGACTGTGGGAGGAAGCCAGAGTACCCGGAGAGAACCCATGCTGGCACAGGGGAAACATGCAACCTGCATACAGAAAAGCCATGGGTCGGCCAGGGCTCAAACCCAGAACCTACTTGCTGTGACATGACAGCGCTAATCACTGTGCTACCATGCCATCAGACAAAGTTTTAGTATCTAAAAATAACGCTTCATTGAATGACATTTAGTTTAATGAACAAATAGTCAAATTATGAATCCTCAAATCCTCTTACATAAATATAACATTTCCTTGGTGCAAGCCTAATGGAAATATTAACAGCAGAAATGGTCAGAAAATAGTTTAATACCTAGAATTTAAAAGACTTCATTCAAAATGAATGTTTTTTTTCAGCATCCAGTAGTTTATTGTTGAAATTTAAAACAATTCCATAAAATCACAGAGCATCTACATGAGAGCTACTTAAGGTAATGTGACCCGAAGTACAGAGGATATAACAGTTCCTTGGTCAGTACCAGCTCCTTTTTTTTTTTGAAACCCTGTGATGTTAAAACATAGCAGGTTAAAGTTATGAAATATATATATACAAAATAAATAGCCAGTGTGAAAGACTTTGGAAGGTAAAAAAAAAGTACTTAAGTGTGCAAGCTCCGAAGGAGTATAGGACATCTTTTGCAGTTCTGTAGGAGTCTTATTATTCTTCCGCTTCTTCCACCAAAATTTTGTTTGCTAGTTCTTCAACAGATTTTGAAGTATGTGCGCCCAATTCGAGTATGTCATGTCTTTGTATTGGGAATAGTGTCACTTGTGATGAGGATCCGATCTATGGTTTTCATACAAATGACGAAAAACTAGCATTTTTTTCTCATATAGGAATAAATGGAAAGTAACTTTTTTCCAAGTTTTTTGGGGGAATATCTCAAAAGGCATTAAACATAATGGCATCAAACTTGGTACTTCCCTTACTGGTGACAACACAGGCCACACACTTGGGAATGTATCTTTTTACATTTTCACTAATGAGTCTAAACCTGTGAGGCCCAGAACAAAGTTTTTTTTTCCTCTGGATTCCTTTGGAAGATTTTGAAGGTTTTGCCATTTGGACCGCCCACTTCCGTCTGGCTAGATTTTCCATCATTTTGAATTTTTAGCAAAACCCTATTCTTCACACTTCATCAAATCTTCACTACTTCTGGTACATCCCCTCTTTAGAGCACCCTGGAAACAATGATGTCACTGATTCTGCATCATTCTTTACCATTCTATTGGCCACTGAAGATGAGTGGGCGGGGCCAAAAGGTGTCAAATGCGATAACTCTCCACTATGTCCAAATGCAACCAAAATTGGATTCTAGGTGCAGTATCGCACTGAGCGGGCCTGTATAGTTATTTACTTTCGCCACTACAGGTGAGGTTTCTCTTTCATAACTCTGCAGGGAAGACATGAATCTCAACCAAATTCATTATCCCATTATCCCTGAATAGGGTTGCTATGGTGCTGGAGCCAATCTCAGTTGACATTGGGTGAGAGACAGGTCACACCCTGGACAGGTCACCAGTCTATTACAGGGCTGACATGTAGACAAACAACCACACACACTCACACCAACCACAGAGAGGAGATCCAGCACCTGACAAGGTGGTGTTCAGATAACAAGCTTGTCCTGAACACCAACAAGACTAAGGAAGTCATTGTGGATTATAGGAGGTCCAGGAAGACAAAACATTCTCCTCTTCTCATACATGGGGAGGTGGTGGAGCAAGTGGATAACATCAGGTTCCTGGGCATCCACATCTGACCTGACCTGACCTGGTCTCTGAACACATCCTACCTAGTGAAGAAAGTCCAGCAAAGGCTTTTCTTCCTCAGGAAGCTGAAACACACTGGTCTCTCCTCTCAGTTGCTCGCAAACTTCTACAGAGCGACGGTAGAGAGCATCCTCTGTCTCAGTACGACAGTGTGGTACGGGAGCTGCACTGTACAGGACAGAAAGGACTTGAACTGAGTGGTGAGAACAGCCCAGGGCATTCTGGGAGTCCTCTTCTAGATCTGGACTCACTATACACTGACCGGATCCAGAGGGGGGCCAGACGGATTGCTGCAGACCCCACCCACCCAGGCAACAGTCTGTTTGTGCCTCTTCCCTCCAGGAAAAGGTACAGGAATATAAAGACTAAAACAAACAGACCACAGCTTCTTCCCCAGACCTGTGAAATCAATCACCACACTAATTCCTAGTCACACACACACACAACCTACCCCCTATGGACAGACAGAACACTGGAAACCCATGCTCACACCTCTTCCTCAAGACTGAGATTTGCACTGAGCTGCACCTTATGTTACCACACTCTTTTGCTGCTAACATGCTGCTGACCTGATTAGGTCCTACACATCTTCATTTTTATCTGTTCATATTCTTATATTGACTGTACAATTCTTGTGTTATGTAAATAATGTGCCTTTTAAGCAGAGAGCTGCTGGAAGAAATTTCGTTGTGCTATGCATAATGATTCTTGACTCTTGACTTGACTTGACCTACGGGGAATTTAGTCACCACTAAACCAAGTTGCATGTCTTTGGACTGTGGGAGGAAGCCACAGGTAGCCAAAATACAGTATATGAAAAGCTCACTTCCTGTTGCCATTAAAGTTTGATAAGATACAACTCATCAGTGTATTGCTATATTTCAACCAGACTTGTGCACCTCAGGGTCCTAAAGGAGTGTGCAGAATTTCATACACCCATGCCAATATGGGGCACTACAGCGAACGTCAATGCCTACCTACATTTAAAGCTAGCCATTTGTGCCACAGTTTCATGTAGGAGGGTTAGTCAAAGGCATAATGACACTACACATGTAGCCTTACATTTGGTGTGAAGTAGCTTTATGATTTGATGTAGTTTTTGGATGACAGCCAATTACATTTGATGTGATTTTGACGCTTTGAACTCATGGTCCTTCCCTTTCATTATGCCACTTACATCAGTCTTCCACCTCTCAATTATACAAGCGTCCTGGACTTATAAGTGTTAAAAAAAATCACTGATATCTTTTATTGTTTCTTAATTGGATGCATGATTGTTTTTGCAATGTTCTGCAGGTCCTCCTGTTTCATATGGTCCAGATGGGTTTATTGACTATTACTATGACTTTTACTTTTGGAGGAAAATAACGTGCCTCCATCCTGTCTCCCTGTGTCTGTCACACAGACACACACACTGTCACTCCATGTCTCTGTCCATCTCTTTCTGTTATCACTGTCTTTGTTCTTCTCTGTCACTTGCTCTGGTCTAGGACCTTTATGTATTGTGTTGTCTTATGTCCTGATTCAGCCAAATCCCACATCATTCTCTATGTGATATTTTAGCATACAAAACCTTGTACTGCTGTGTTCTGCACGTCCGATCAGCAGCTCAGCGACGGCAGCGTGTGGGTGGGTAGCACGAGAAGAGGCGGTGGTGGTGGTTGGAGCTTGCACACCTAAAATTTCTTCTGAAATTTTTAAGTCCCTAGTTCAAAGTGCAGTTTTATGGACACACTGATAACAGAAATCTGTCTGAGGTATGATCCGCTTACTGTAAATGTTCTCCATGCCCAAAACAACTTTCATCGCCCCAAAATTAGAAGGAAAAGGCAGCTGTTTTTATTCTATCCAAATTACTCCATTTCCACATATCACTGAGTACAATGTAAATCAGAAGGCACAACACATATATATAGCATCCATGTGAAAATATCTTTCATCTGACTCACCTTTCAGGCAAACAATTACATCTCATAAAAATACAGCCTGAAAGGAAACAAAGCTTTTTTCTTGCCTTAAAATAAATCTTATCTTCTATAAATATACTCTAATTCAATGACAAAGGAGCTTAGTTATGTTTTTGAAAATAAAACACAGCACTTAATACACGTTTTCCAACATAAAAACAAAATCATGAAGTAATATGGTTAATAAATCTTATAGTAATAAGACCAGCCCTTTGCATAGAAAAAGAGGTGCAAAACAAAGTATTAGACTTCTGAAGATATGCATGCAGGTAGCAAGGGAGTGTGGCTTATTGTGAGCTACAACATACAGCTACTGCAAGCAGGAAAGTCCTTAAAATTGTGCTGGACACAATGTGACACAGCACTGGATGAGGCATTAACAGGTATATTTCTCGGGTGAGTGGGTGCATGGATAAAATCTGCTGTGGTCTTCTGATGCTTGTGTGTGTGTGTGTGTGTGAGGGGGATGGAAGCTTGCTGTCAGTGTGTGCTCTTCTCTGGCTGTAATTCAAGAGAGGTCATTCTGTTGCAATGCAAAAACACAATACAGAGAAACCTTCTCATCTCCACTACTCCTTAAAGCTGTAAGATCCCAACCAGTTCCATAACAGAACATACTGTATATACAAGCCGTTTAATGAGCCATGGCGAATGAAAAACTATCCATTACAGCAAAGGACACTAGGAACTGCTTTCCAGACATCTTTCATCCACAGGGTGTTTTCTGTGAGCAGAATTGGACAGGAACAACAACAACATCCTAAGACTTTGAACATGTATGTACTGTAACGGCTATAGGTCAGGGATAGATCCAGGAGGAACCTCATGGATGTGGCAGCTGGCACTGCTGTGAATGCCACTGTCCCACTGAGACCTTTCACAAACTGGGCACTCTGAGGTCACGCCATGCGGGCTGAATGAGGTCGACCTGTGGCCCTCCATGCAAGGGGTGTGCCAAAGAGCCTCGACATGAGAGTGAATGTGGAGGAGTGGGGGTGTCCAGGGCTGTTAATAGGACTGAGAAATGCCAGAGGAAGCAGTAGTAGTGTGACTGTGTACAGGCCACAGAGGGATGGTGAGGCCTGTGCACCTTCTCATCTGAGATTTCCAACTTTCTTATGACCACTTCTCATTTTTTCTGCTATGGTCACCTGTAATTTCAGTTGGAGGACACGCCGGCTTCCTTCTGTCGCAGCCTCTCTTTCTATTAGCCAAAAAAGTAGTGATTTTAGTGCCGACAAGAGAAAGAGCAGCTTTTCTGGAAATTAGAAATTCTATTTCTCTTTCTGTAGGTCACTTCTTACCAGACTGTTGGCATTGATCTTCTTGGTTTCGACTCTCTTCTCCGCTGTGATCTTCTTGATGTTTTCCTCAGCTTCCTTCAACCTATTGAAAGAAAAATCCACAATTACTTAATATTTGCCCTTTATACTAGAACTACACACTGAAGCATCTGGAAGACAATTGAGCCATGGCAGGATGGAAAAAACATCTCACAGGGGCAGATGAAGGCTCTGTTCAAGTTCCAGTGGCTTTGATTTCAAGTGTGGAGGACACTAAATGAAAGCTCACATTCATGATATGAGAGCCCAAATGACCATGCAGTTAAGTTGAAGAGTAATGAACGGTTTCACACGTTCCTGTTGTCATGGCCCCACAAGCAGCTCTCCTATTCTTTGAGCTGCATGTCCAGTATCTTTACAGTGTTTATCAGTTCTCCCATAATGCACTACTTTTAACAGCATCATACCCCTGTCCACTTGTTACGTGTCCAACCAGGAGGGTCTGTTGTCGCTTGGTGGAATGCCCCCCCAAGATGATGCCTCAGGTCAGAGAAAACATCATAAATTCAGGCCCCAGTCCTTTAAACACAGGACCCTAGACCTCCCTTTTTGAAGGCCACCCTCTCTGCTTTAATTACAACTCAGCATCTGCATGTCAGCCTCGTACAAGCAGCACCAGTCTGAGCTGATGTCTTGAAGTGTTAAGCACCTATACAAAGGTGATGGAGACAGTTAGTGTAATCACAGGATGAGGTGGCTAAGCCTCCCTGTGGTCACTATGTTTCTGTTTTGCAGAGCTGAGGTACCGTACATCCGCTGACAGAGAAAAATCTTTTTTCACCTTAAAATTAACATTCCTTAAGTTTTTCTTGTAAACAAATGGCTTTTATACTATTTATGACTGGCACATTTTTAACAATAGCCATTCAATATATGTAGATTCTATTATTGTTTTTAAATTTATCTCATTAATATCAGCATCACTGTTTACTCTTCTAATGGCTTATAACAGCTGTATTAAGTGACTGTTACTGCTGCTGCTTTACATGAAAGTGTTCCACCGGTAAACTACTGGATGACTTTAATCATTTTATTTTTTATTAAAGCAACTTATTGTTTTGCATTTTTCTACACTGTAAACACATACAATAGTTGCTTTTTACTGTCTTTCTGACAAAGCTGCTAGACAATTACTGTAATATTAAACAACTTTTGCTGTTATCATGATGACACTAAAACCAAATTATAACTTCATATATGTCAGCTTTGCTGAAGCAATCAGTCAGGTTTCCATGGCCCCCACTGAACAGAAAGGTAAGAAATAGCGTAACTTTACCAGATCCAACTTACCTCTCCTTGGAGATGTTCTTGCTTTGTCGTATCCAGGCGTTCTTGAAGTCACTGCAGAACTCATACCAAAGGATAAAGACGTAACTCGGGGTCACTTCTTTCTCCCCGGGCTTTGGTTTAATCCCATAATAGTTCACCATGTCCTGGAAACTGTAAGGAAAAACAGAACAGAGCCACAGGTGGCGTTATCTTATCTCAGATAAACACTAAGAAATAATAGACATAAATGTTAGTGTGTTTCAGAAACAGAGCTGGAAGGACAGCGTCAACCCCGCTGGGCCACAGGGGAGAGCCAGTAGCAGTGGCTCCATTATCACCTCTGCAGCCTGCAGGGGCAGATTGCCAGAGGAGACAGTGAGAGCCAAGAGCAGGCTGCTGCTCCAGACACAGCAACACACCAACTCACACATATAGCCTAAGAAACATTCAAAGATGTAATTATGTTATGATACACACATGTGAGCTCACTCATACAGCTACATACATACAGATGCAACAGATCTATGTGGGGAAAAAAAGCTGATTCTAGATTCCCTGTTTTCTGTTCACTGGGAGAGACCGTCACACTGTTGTAGGCCGAATTCAACTGAAACCTAATCGGAATTCTTTGCAAGGCTCTCAGCGACACACACAGGGCATGAAAGGCAGCCTGCTGCTTCAGATTCCTTTCTAACACCAAACATTTTCTAGTCTTGCCTGTCAAAGGCTTGATAAAAGTGGGCCATAATTCAGAAGATGCTCCCTGTGCCATTGACACCCACACAGGCTCCGACCTCCAGATGCTAGGTGGCTTTTTGTTACGCCAATCTAAGACATGTTCATACAGTGGGTAAACAGTACAATATGCTGCCCAGACAGCCTGCTAAAAGATGGGGAAAAAAATTTCCCAGTGATGCGTCATTTCACTGGGATGCTCAAAAAAAAAAGGCAGCGCTGTAGATCATCCTGTATGCTACAAAAGAAATCAGAGGAATAAGGCTTGGGGATTGTTTAGATGAACCAAACAGATGTGCCACCATCCCAGGTAGCTTTGGCCTGGCATGTTGAGCACGGTCTCTTCTCCATCAGCTCCTCTCCTGACCCTGGGTCATCATGTCAAAGCATGCACAAACCAGGCAACAATGCTTTCCCTTTTAGCCTCCTGGGCATATGCAACAAGCAGATGCACAAAGCCTCATTCAAACCAGATGCAAACACACTCACACATGCTGCAAATCCTAAACAAAATCAAGCAGAACCGAGTTCATTTGCAGTTGCTTGTACACATGCACACACACGCACCTACAATTTCTATAATCCATGCTGTGAGAGGGTTTACTGCAGCACCCACTGCCAGCATTCCTCACTGACAGCTATAAAAAAGACCCATTACAAAACCATGAGCAGCCGTGAGAATCAGGGAATTATTTGGACAGGCTACTCTGCATTCCTTGGTGTCCCCAGTAAAAAGATTACAGACGTAAACTCCATGCTGTCGTCCCATTTAGCAGAGTCATTTTGTGCCACCACTGTAACATAATGCTATGAGACAAGCAACTACGAAACCATGACTGGAGGGAGAAGGAAAGGTAATGATACAGAACTGAGGACAGAGACAGAAAACCTCAGTGGAAGCCAGATATGAAGCAGACAAATTAGGAGAAAAGAAGAAGTTGAAGAAAATGTCCCAGCACTCAGCAAAAATAACCTTTTAACAAACCAGAAATAAACTTCTCATTAGAATGGTAGTACTGTTTTACAATCTCAAAGAAAATTAAACATAATGCATGTGTAGATGATTATTATTCAGCTAATAGTTGAATTGTGTCATGATAATTTTATATCATGTAGTTGTTTTACAAAATTCTGTTCTCCAAAATGTAAAATTCTGAAAGGCCTGTAAAAAGAATAAATAAAGGTATTAAACATTTATTTTTATATGTCTAAACAGTTTTGTCTTATACAACACATAATAGTGGAATAAATTCAAAATACATAATCAAACCATTTTAGGGCTATATTTGTTGCTACTAGTGCTGATATATACCAAGGTAAAAAGTTTACTTTTTAAAATAAAGTTCTTACTCTGAAGAATATGGAAAAAGTTTTTCTTGTATTCATGCACAAAAAAAGAAGCAAAACTTTTCCAGTGTTAAACACAAACAACCACACAAGAACTCTGCCCAAAATGAAATTGTCTTAAATGAGAAAATATCAATTTAAATCACACATCAGTCTAATCTAAAAGTGTTACCTATACAGTATTACCTATACAGCCCAGAGACTGCATATGCTTTCTTTACATATACATTAGACTCACTGGCCACTTTATTAGGTACACCTGTACAATTGTATGCACTTCAATGAATCAATGCTAGCTGGGGAGGACAAACATAGAGAAATGCCTCTGAATATAATGTAGTCCAGCACACCACCACCTGTAACTGTGACCTCAATAACAAACATATAATTGAATTTATACATTTATGACAGTTTCACCAAAAACTGAAACATTTTGAGCTTCATAAACATAGATGTTAAGGTGGAAGTGCTGCATTGAAGTGCATACAATTATACAGGTGTGCCTAATAAAGTGGCTGGTGAGTGTATGATCTAGTCCAAAAATCACAAAATTGAACAGGTAAGAAGAAAAAGTATGAATCTGACCTTAAAATGAACTTTGTTCTTGATAGTACAATGGGTATTAACTGATTAGTAGATTAACAGAACTATTTTGATAATCAAGTAATTTGGACATTTCTGAAGTTAAATTTCCAAACTTGAACTAGTTCCAGAGTCTCACTCTTCTTTGTCTTATGTGATTGTAAATGTTAATACCAATAAAACTAGCAATGTGACATGCCGGTGACATTTAATAGACTGAGCCAATAATCAATAATGAAAATAATAGTCCTGAGGTTCAACAGCCAGCCCTAGCTCCTGTTGGTATCCTGATGCTGACTCATCACCCAGGCTTGGTCCCTGGTGGCTGACTCAGACTCTTCACGAGGCTGAGACTGAGTGATTAGGCAGCACTGAGGATGTTGTCTATTTTATTTATTGACACTGAGCCATAATGTTGCCACCGCTGCTGCTGCTGCTGCTGTTGTGTGTGTGTACATGAGGATCCCTCATCCAGTGCAGATACGAGAGCCCACCAAGGCCCCAGCATGCCCGCTGATGCCCATATTCATCAACAATGTGTCATTTTTCTGAGGTGGCTTTGTGGGAACCTGAGAAAGAGTTTCACTTTCTCCTTTATGTGCTTCCATGATTTATTTTGGAAGTGGGAGTGCCACAATATAAAGCAAACAAATCTGCTCTCTATCCAAACAAGGCAAAAATAATCTAATTGCTTTGTTTGTCTGCTCCACCATCTTTTTCCACTATGAAATGTTCCAGATATGATTTTGCTCGGACAGTGTGTCTTACGCCTATAAATCAGATACTGTACCTCTCAGAAACCTCTTATCTGCACAAAACTTGGCAGATAAAAATGATAGAAACTGCAGAAGAGTATTCATGCTTGAATACAATATGCTTGTTGCATGTGATATGTGTTGTCTCTGTTGGGGATGAATATCTTGTTTAAGACAAATTACAACAGATCTAGACACTGGCACAGGTGCATTTAGTGCTTACAATATATTGTTGTCCAAAACTGTGCTTAATCCTTCAAAATAAATCACTTTACCCCAGACATCATACTGAGAAGCCTCTTCATCGCACGATAAACCTTATCAGCTGGTGTTAATATCTGTATACAACAGCAAACATTAGTGCCAACAGATACCAGTAATGACATCCACCTGAAGCATGGCAAATAACACTGCATTGTGACACTCGCAATCAGAGTTTGCAGAATTCCCATGCTGAGGAACAAAATCTAGAGGAAACACATATTTTATATACAAACATTCCATTCATAATTTTAAATGCATTTCAACTTGGAATTGTTAAGGAAGGTTTCCTACCTTTTCTGTGCTGCATTGAGCTGATCCTCTTCAGCTGAATGCTCCATCTGAGCTGTAAAAAATAACAACATGAAATAAGTAAATAAATATATAGTGGATTATGACAGACTCTGGGGCAGATTATGTCCTGATACAGATAATCAAATATGTTCCCTGACAGACACTAAGAACTGATCTAAAATCACGAGTGTTCAGATGGGGGCGCTGTGTTCATTAGCCATCCTGAGAGTTGCCCAGTGGAACACAGAGGAAAGATGGGTTGAGATGTCATGACACATTGAGCATATTATCCAAGTTTCAGTTGAGCACACTGTAAAGTTTGACACGCTTCTGCATATTGACACATGAGAGAGTAAGCCTGTGACGCCTAGGTTCAGGGGCTGGGAGTGGTCGTCTGTTCGCAGAGGTGTGTGCTTATGCCATGTGTGTCGACATACATGTGTATGCTTAAGCAGACCTGAAGCAGGGATACAGAGAGGCTTGGGAGTGGGAGATTCCTGTGGTCTCCTGCCATGTAAAATTGTCTAAATGCAAGGCAGATGTGTGAGGCGCCGAGGTGCAAGAATTTATCTAGGGCCAGAGAGTGCCTGTGATCTCAGATTTATTGCATTTTTCCAGATTCATCCTTTTTACAATGATGGGGGATCTACTTGAAGATTTAAGAGGGGGATGTCTCAAAAAAAATTGTTCAAAGGCAGGTTTGGGGGTCTTTCGGGAGATTGTGGGCTTACACCTCTAACCAGCCATGCCATTTACTTTTTAATTCTACTCTTTTACTGTGTGTGGGCAAGGGCCTAAGTTAAACCTAATGAATGGAGGGGGTGGCCATGCCTGGGAAAGGGGTGGAAGGAAGAGGAGGGGGGCCATGACCAGCCAGTGGCGTTACTCTCAGTGGTGGTCTGGCGCCTGAGGTCCCCCTCTGCTGTGACTGTGCAGTGGTAGCACCGGAGCCAAAGGTCTAAGGGGATAGAGCGAGAGAGTGACCCAGAGTGAGAGGATGTGTGAAGTTTTCTCTTCCTCTGTTCCCTGTGTAAATACAAAACCAGTAGTCACTAACCTGAAAGTTATGAGACATATATGCTGAGAGGGGACAAAAAATTAGGGCTTTAAAACTCTGACACAGTTTTCCAAACCGCTGCTTTGCCTAGCAGCCAAATAACAAAGAGATGGAGTGCGCTGAGGGATGCTGAGGATTTCCAGAAAGCATCGTTTTCCATCTCCCCACATACCAACCCATGTTTAAAGCTATAATATCTAACCTATTTTCAAATATTTCTCCAAAACCTGTCTTAATGTAGAGAGGTACTGCCGAAGCCTCCTGTGACCCTGACTCAATGAACAGCACTGGCAGCAGTGCAGAGATATTAGCTTCTAAAAGGTTTTGAGCAGGACTGACCTCTCTAAGTAATCAGAGATGTTCAGTTATTTCTGCTTGATCAGTACGTTTTGTTGCATTCTCATTTATTGCAATTTCATAATGACAACTATCTGAAGAGCTGGGCAGAGTGTGGTGGAGCATAGCAGATCATAGCAGAGCACAGTGGAGCAGGGAGAGGGAGTGCTGGGCGGAGCAGGGCGGACTGACAGTGCTTCTTCAAGTTACATACTGTAGCTTAAAGACACAGATGCATCTCTAAGGCTTCATCAAAACTGTTTTGTTGGACAGCTGTTACCTGCAAATGGCACATGGGCTGTGTAATTCAAAGTCAAGTGGAATTTTGGTTTCTGGATTGTGACTCACTGACAACTAAAGGGATGAGATGATTCACATGCATTTCATACAAGAGCCAGTGAATGGGGGTTACATAAGCTGACAGTAAAAGCAGGAATTTGTTTTCTCCCAACCAGAAGGTTGAAGGTTCGAATCTCAGTCCACGTGTCGAAGTGTCTTTGGGCAAGACACTGAACGATGATTACACCCCGCTCCTCCTAAACCACGGGCAGCAGCTCGAGGAATTTTGTTTATGAAAGAAAGATTTATAGTTCTTCCACTGAAAAGTTTATGTTCAAGATGTGCCTTTGCAAACCAATGCCATCTTGTAGCCAGTGGCAATCAGAGTAGTTTTAAGAGGTTTCAGATAAACCTGAGATATTGACAAAAACTCAAAGGAAAGCTTTAGAGCTCAAAAGCAGAAAAGGTGGATAAACTTAGCTACAACAATGCCAAGGAATGTCTCCATTTCAAGAATTCATGATCACAGCACACAACTTTTGTACTGCAAACATGGACTCAGCACATATTTTCTCTTTGCACCACAATCATATGGCTAAAAATCACCCTTGTATGAATCTTTTATAGAGTCTATTGTTTTTACTACTGTGCCTCTTGCTGCACGACATGGGAAACTATCTAACCTTTCATGTAATCTACTTAACACACACTTTGTAAAAACATTCATCCTTGAACTTTAGAGAGGACATAATGGTTTGGTTTCCCCAAAAAGCCAATATTTACAATGACCAGCTATAATATTCTGACCACTGACAGGTGAAGGGAATAACACTGACTGTCTCATTACAATGGCACCTGTCAGTGTGCAGGCTTTATTAGGCAGCAAATGAACATTCAGTTCTCGACAATGGAAGTTCATAGATTTTTTTTGTTGTGCGCTGAAAAATTCTATTAAAACCAATCAACTACAAAATGTATATTAGGGCCACAACTAATGATTATTTTAATTGACAATTAACCTGTCAACTGTTTTCATGAAATGTCAGAATTATTTATTCAACAACAGCCCAAAACCTTAAAATAGGGGATGTAATCAGCTTATTCTAGTCAGTGTCCCAATAATTCTGGATAACGAAAAGACCACAGTGTGAACAATTTTATGGGTAAAACAGCCAGTCTGAAAACAGTTGTATTGTCTGGATTATACAGCGTAAATGGTATATGGTGTTTGGATAGATGTTGTTGGTCAACTTTTAAGTATAACTGTTCAATTTTATGAGCGCCACAAAAAAAATTCCATTGGCCTCCACTGTTAAAGCTGAGGCAGAAATCTCAGAGATGGAGATGACACCATCTGGACAAATCATACAAGATGGTGCCCACCGAGGCAGATATGTTTGCGTGTTCCACTTCACTCTGTACATTGAGAAGATCGCACTACTGCTTCGGGGAAGGAAAAAGGAGGTGGTGTGCGTGTGTGTGTGTGTGTGTGTTTATCAGTAACTTGTGGTGTGGAGATGTACGGACTGTTTATAAGCACTGTTCGCCAGACAGAGTTTTTATTGCTGAAATGCCGGCCCTATTATCTAGCAAGAGAGCACAGTGCTGCGTTTCTGGCTGCTGTGTATGTTAGCCCAAGAGCTAATCCCTCTGCGGCTCTCAGCAAACTCTATGATGTCATCAGCACGCTAGAGACAGTGCACCCAGATGCTGTATTTATCGCTGCAGGCGACTATACTTCCCAAATATTACCAACATGTGAACATTCCCACCCAGGGCAAGAACACTCTAGATCATGTTTACAGTAACATACGGGGTGCATATAGGGCCGCACCCCGCCCCCACCTTGGACGCTCAAACCACATTTCTTTGTTCCTGTATCCAGCTTACAGACAAAGGCTGAAACAAATAAACCCTGTCACCAAACAAATTAAACTCTGGACCCCAGAGACTGAAGGCACCCTGCAGGACTGTTTCGCCCAGACAGACTGGGATGTATTTAAAGCTGCAGCCACCTCAGAGGACTTTTCTGTCAGTGTATAGGACTATGCTGAGTATGTGACCGGATACATTAGTATCTGTATCGACAACACTGTACCCACCATACAAGTCAGGAGGTTTCCCAACCAGAAGTCCTGGATAAACAGTCAGGTACTCCACATGCTGCGTGCTCACTCTCATGCATTCAGATCAGGCGATGAGACGGGGTACAAAGCTGCAAAGTACAGACTGAGGAAAGCCATCACAACGGCCAAGAGGCAGTACAGAGAGAACCTGAATGGCTTCTATTCTACTACTGACTCCGGACGCATGTGGCAAGGCCTGCAGCACATCACAGACTACAGGACCACCACCAGCATCATCAGCTCCACAGACAGCCTGCCGGATGACCTCAACACCTTCTACACCCACTTTGAGACCTCCAGCTACAGCACAGACAGGAAGCACGCACACACCTGGACCACCCAACCCCCCACCTCCCCTCCACTAACTGTTTCATCAGGCCAGGTGCGACAGTCCTGAGAAATATCAACCCCCGCAAAGCAGCAGGACTGGACAACATCCCTGGGAGGGCTCTCAGGGCATGTGCCAGCGAGC